TTATATTATCGCAGTTATTTTAAACAAATAAACCAGAGAAATGTAAAAATGTATTTTATTTAGTTTATGCCGAGAAGTTCAAACAACTTGAATAAAAGTAAACAAGAGCTGAAACGATTGCGAATATTTATCTTATCACAAACGAACATCTATATGATAAACAAAATCGTATTCAGTTATGAAGAAATCAAAGTATTAATTACCTATGCATATTATATTATGATAGTTTTTTGTTAGATTTCAATTTTGACAATACTTTTAACTTCCTTTAAATCTAAAACTCCTAATTATCGTGTTATTGCAATATAATTACAAGGGGAATAAATCAAGATATGTTTTTCAAAAAATCCAAATCAATACAAGACTATGTTTTCGGTACATAATATCAGTTTAAATCATACTTTTAATACTAAGATTCGTATTGTTTTGCATAAAGAGAAAATTGTGGTGTCAGAAAATTTTCTAAATCTGTTTTTGTCACTTACATCCTATACATTAGATTTTTTTTATTATATTATATTATATAAAAATTCACATTATAATTACAAGGGGAATAAATCAAGATATCTGTTTTTCAAAAAATCCAAATCAATACAAGACTATGTTTTCGGTACATATTATCAGTTTAAATCATACTTTTAATACTAAGATTCGTATTGTTTTGCATAAAGAGAAAATTGTGATGTCAGAAAATGTTCTAAATCTGTTTTTGTCACTTACATCCTATACATTAGATTTTTTTTAATATATTATATTATCGTAGTTTTGCGAACAAGATATCAGTTAAGAAAAAAACAATATTTTTTGAATGCATATTAATTATTTTGGGACGTTTTGGAATTAGTTATGTGCCATCTTAAGGTCACATATGAGGAAAATTATTAGCAAATAAACATGAAATTCAAAATTTGAACAAAAAATATATGATGAAAATATTGTTTTTTCCAAAATTGGAATTTTTTTTTTTAAAGGTATTCAATTTGCTTTTTTCGTCTTATCTTTATGAAAAATATGTATTTATTTCAATTATTAATTACTTCTTGCTTCTATCTTTTATTATTATATCAATTTGTTTATATATTGTTTAAATAAGCATTAAGTTTAAAAACCTTTATAGAAATTTTTATCGAATCCAAACAATTGTATTTCTAATGAAAATTTTAATTTATAATAAATAAAATATTTAAAGAGGTGATTACACTCTAGTCGTGTTTGTTTAATAAACGAACGTGCTGAATTGCATTTCTGTTTAAATATTTTTAATTAAAAATTTCCTAGATATAAAATTTATAACAAACGATTTGTATAAACAATTATAGACAAATATATAATATCTCTTTCAGAACGATAAAGTTGAATGAACGTCTTGGCGATATAAAATTTGAACAATATTTTCAAAGAAAAGAATTTAATTAGCAACTAACAAAACATATAACCACTATTTTAAAACAAAAATTGATAAAATTTTGAATATTTTACAAAACAATGATGCTTCATTATTGACATCATTTATGCTAGTACATTTTATTCAGAATTAGTCATTTTTAAGTTTTTATTTTTTTACTTGAAATTTTTCAATAATAAAATTTTCAAGTATTTTACTATTTTACAATCTTGATTAAATGCGCAAAGTTTTGATGAAATTTGCCAACACTTTTTAAAAAAAAAAAATCAAGAAGGATCTCTCAAAGATGTCCCATTTTGAAAATTGCAAATTCATAGTTCAACAAAGATTCTTCATTCTTGAAAACTTGAGGCAATTGTGTTAATGTTTTAATTGTGGCCCTAGAAATGATATCCATGGTTACGGTTTCAAAGTTTAAATGAACAAAATTAGTTAAAATTAACCACAATGACCAAAAACTGGTCATAATTTCGCCAAAGTTGTAGGTTGCATTTAAAAGCCCATAATTTCTAAAAAAATGGAGATATATTTTTTTTAACTTCCCGTAGAGTGAGTTATTGTAATCGTCCAAAAATCAAAAACGAAAATTTTTGCATATCTTTACGTTTCAGAGGTTTCTGAACATTTTGGCATACCTTAGAAAAAATTGAGGTGTGTGTATGTACGGATACAATTTTCACGTTTTCGGGCGCACGGATCAACCGATTTCAATGATTCAAAAAGCATTCCATTCCTATTAATAGGGAGGCGTGCTGATTAGTTTTTGGCAAAGGCAGGTCCAGCCGTTTAGGAGATACGGAGCAAAGAGTGTAGAAAATAGAATTCTAGTTTTTGAGAGTACAGAGCATCCGATTTGAATGATTCAAAAAAACATTCTACTTGTATTGACATAATGAAGAATAGATTAAGTTTTTGCAAAGGCAGGTCCCGTGGTTTCCAAGATCCAGAAAAAAATTAAAATGTCATTTGTCGGTCGAAATTCATATATTTTGTAAATTCAATCAACTGATATGAATCGGTATCAAAAGCTTTCGAGATGTTATCAAAATTTTCAAGAAAAAAAAAATTAGTTTTCAAAAAATATCAGTATTTTCAAAAAGGCAAGTTTTTTCAGTATTCAAGTTTTTCAAAATTTTCAAATATCTTCAAAAAAAATCTGAATTCTCAAAAAAATCCAATTGTTCTTTTCTGAGCTGTTTGACAGTATTTTCAAAGAGCCAAATTTTTTCAATGCTCAAATTTTTCAAATGTTTTCAAAATTTTTAAAAATCTTCAGAAAAACTCACAATTTAAAAAAAAATCAAATATTTCTTTTATGAGCTTTTAAAAATGTTAAATTACGTTATCAAAATTAAAAAAAAAATTAGTTCTCACAAAATATCAGTATTTTGAAAGACAATTTTTTTCAATATTCAAATTCTTCAAATTTTTTACAATATTTCAAAATTCTTCAAAAAAAATTCAATTTTTTTTCAAAATTCTTCAAAAAAATCTAATTTTTCTTTTCTGACCTTTTAAAAATTTTAAATTACTTATCAAAATTTTCAAAAAAAATAATATATTTCAAAAAATTATCAGTGTTTTCAAAAAAGGAACTTTTTCAGTATTAAAATTTTTAAAGATTTTCGAAAATCTTCAAAGTCAAATATTTCTTTTCTGAGCTTTTAAGAATTTTAAATTACAGTATAGGAAGTTCCAGCAATTTGCCTTAAACGAAATGATAAGGCACGATGCCATACACCACTAGTCACTGTTTGAAATTACACTAATAGAGTGGTCCTTAATATGGACATTTTCGAATTTCCTTGCTCCCAAGGGCTCAAATGGTTTGAAATTGATAAAAAACAATTCTCTGAAAGTTTTAGCTCTTAAAATTAACTTTTAGATAGTGCACAATTTAATCAAACTTCGAATGGAAATAGCATGGAAATAATTTTGAAAATTTAAAAAAAGATTTTTCAAGTATAACTTAGCGACAAATGAATTAAAAGTGAAAATTCGTGTCATTTTTCATTGAAAATTTGACGCTCTGCAAAATTTTTGAAAGATTTTTCATGCTATTTCCATACAAAACTTTGATTGAATTGCGCTCTATCTAAATGTTAACATAAAGAGCTGAAAACTTTCAGGGAATTGTTTTTTTATCAATTTGGAACCATTTGAGCCCCTGGGAGCAAGGAAATTCGAAAGTGTCCATATTAAGGGCCACCTTAATATACATATATATATATATATATATATATATATATATATATATATATATACAATGTATCTATATCTATTTCTCTTTCCCAGGTCCTGGTGACCCACACAAAGTTTCCGGTGATCCCCCGCCGAATAACGATAAGCAAACGGCTTGCGCAATGCATGCATCCGGCCCTGCCTTCCGGCGTCCACTTAAAAGCGCTGGAGACCTACGATGCCATATTCAAATGCATGGGGACGAATCGTCTGGCCCACGAACTGTTCATCTACAGTGCCGGACTGTTTCCTTTATTGGGACACGCGGCCATGAACGTCAGGCTGTTGCTGTTGACGGTCTACGAGACGCATTTCGTGCCCTTGGGAGAGAGACTGAGGCCGGCCCTGTCGGGGTTCCTTAGCGGGGTGCTGCCAGGGCTGGAGTCGGGCAGCGATCATTATGAAAGGTAATAGTGGTAAAGGACATATGGGGTGGACAAAATTGTTTGTCACATTTTTCTTATGTAATGTCAAATGTAATGTTATATATATATTTGTAATTTAAATGTCCCGCCATTACTATTAGTGATGTTGGCAACAGTGTTCTCCTACCATAAAACTATGTAGCAGCCATCTTATATTTATGTTTATGTTAAAACTATGTAAAATAACTCTCTTCTTGCTGAACCGTGAAACAAGTAACATTTAAAATAAACTGAGTAATTTTAAGGAAGCATTTTTATTTTGCCATGGGGTGAATGGATATTGATGGCATCTTATATTGTGTCACATTGGTAGTAAGGAGCAGGTTTAAGGCAGTTTATCAACAGTCACTACTTTGTCTCAATTCCATAATATTATCTTATATATAAAATGGATCGCAAAATGTGTTGGCAAGCGCATAAGTCAACAACGCCTGGACCAATTTGGCCAATTCTTTTTTAAAATGTTCGTTGATGTCCAAGGATGGTTCTTACGGCGAGAAAAAACCGAGTAATTGTCGAGAAAACCCTAAAAACGGCCCTTTTTTTTTACATACAAATGTTTTCTATTTGAGCTTTATTGCTATTATATAAAGTTCATATTAAATTACAAGCAGTCACTGTATACTCCTTCTAAACGATTATGCGGATTTTGATAAATCTTTCTGAAGTTTGTTAAGGAAATTTTCTAGGATGCATGTGATTATAAAGTACAGGAATGTATGTGCAATATTTTAGAAAGAAATTGTAAAAAAATGTAAAAAACGAAATGTCATTATTGACATTGAAAACAAATAAAAATTATCATTTGTTAAAGTTTCAATTTATTTATGAACCTTCATTTTATTTAAAGCAGTTCTGCATTTAGCAATCGATCATATTGTAAAATGTATATGCATTTTGGCGTGAAGGGTAATTTAAAAAATAATAATTATTATTTTTAGATAAACGGTAAATATTAGTATATTATATTTAAAAATTGTACACACGGGTACAGGACAACGTCTCTCAGGTTATCTAGTTCTAAATAAATATAAACGTACTAAAGACTCCTTATCGTCTGCAATTGGCACAATGACAAGGATGTGAAAATAGTGTAACAGATTATTGAAGTAAAACTTCTTTAGGCGCGATTCGGGTGGAAATCTGTGAGAATGCAACGGACATAGCGTTACGCCCGAACTGTACGTCATTCGCTTTCGATGAAATCATTTCAATACGGGTCGATTGTGATTAGTCGTCGTGTCGCGTGAATGGAGATCTGTCGTTGTATCCACAAGGAAATCACCATAGATAAACATTTTGAAGTTACATCGCAGTACAAATCTTGATTTAATGAAAAATGCCTGAATCAGAAGAATATTTTACCTTGTTCCTTGAAAATAATAAAACAAATTAAACATTTGTGTCGTGTACTAAACGTAAGTTTATTGAAATAATTTCTATATTACTCGTAGTTTCTATGAATCTTTGAAGTTATTACAATGGAAAATATTTTTAGGCAAGACAGATATTACAGCTGTTCAAAGAATGCGATTATATCGCCAGCGAAATAGTAAAAAAAAAAACGAGCAATCAATGAATCATTCATACAAATTTTCAAATATTTAAAAGTGCAAGGATCAATTTTACTATTGAAATTTAGTATTTTAATAGCTACAAAACTGAGTAATTAATATGTTAATGTATTAAAAACATTTGATAAGCACGAGTAGGAAAACATGTGAACGTTATTAAAAATGTTTCTGAAAAAGGAGATATCAAGATTTCCTAAAGGTAGATATAAATAAAAACTTAAATAAATTAGTAAAGAAGGGGCATGGAAAAAGAGGGTTTTATTACTAAAAAATTAAATCATAAATAATATTAGATATTCAGAAAAACTTCAACGGGCTATCGGTAACAGGCGTTTTTCAATTTGATCTCTTAAACGATATTAATTTTGTCTCGCCCCGTTTTAAGGCTTGTATTAACTCTTTTTCCTCGTAAATTGCTAGATTTATATCAATTTTGGAAGCTTCCGAGTGAAAAGGGTGAATTATAGTTTGCGTTGCTTTATGAAAATAATTAATTAATAATAAATAATTTTTCTTAAAAAATAAATAATTAATAATTTGTCAGAAGTATTATTGTCGTTTTATGTCGTTACTTAGATTTTTCAACTTGCCCTAAACTCTCACTTTTTCCAGAAATTGATAGATTGTGAAATAATGAACAGCAGTTGTGGATGTTAATTTTAATTACATGAAGTTTTCAAACACAAATATTATATGATAATGAGTGAAATTGTGAAAACAGAATTTGTTCAGGCATTTTTTAACATAATCCACTGTGTGAACGAATATATTAATATTATATAATATAGAATTTATTAATTAGCAATTACTTCATTTCTCTAATGAAGATTCAAGTCGTGAATGCTAATTACAATGACAAACCGATCATGTCATATTTTAAGTATGACTTTAATTACATTATTGTTTTTTAAATATTATACATATTTTTACGCTATCATAAATATATAATTTATAATTTATCATTATATAAATGTGTATAATGGTTGACACTAATAAATGTGTGCATCACGAGTGTTACCTTACCATATTACTAATAAACATCATTCAAAATTGTTATATGATGTATTTATTTTTAACTTAAATGCCATCTCGTACAATAGCAAAAAAGTTTTACTTCAATCGCGTGTGAATTCTTTTTTTTTTTAAAAGGATAGATCTTTGGGAAAGCACTTTTTCCTCCACTGTCTTAAAAAGAAATTCACATCCTGACAAATATTCACTCACATTTACTTATTTCTTTTAGTACAAATGGCTTGCTGGAGAAGGTTTGCGATGGTGTGGGCTCCCTGCACTTCTACAGTTGTCTCTGGGAAATTTTATCGTGCAACAGTGCAACCAGGTTACCAGCAATATCTTTTGTTCTGGATCATTTCAACCGTAAAGTCACCATGAGTGATCAGATGCACCTCATTGGCAAGGATAGCAACATCATGGTAATAAATATTCTTAACTTTAACAAATAATGTTACTACAAACAATTGATTTTCGCATTGGTCTTTTATCAGGTGACTGGTTTGTGTGCATGTATGTGCGACCAGAGTGTTTTAGTACAAAGAAGTGCCCTCGAATTACTACTCGTTGGACTTCCTTTACATCTGCCTTTGTTAGAAAAAGATGACCTGGTTCGACTCATCGTGGCTGGTCTTTCCACTTTATTGAGAAGGGATATGTCATTGAACAGGTAGAATAATTATTTTACTTAATTATTAACTTCAGGCAGGGTAAGTTATAGTAATCGCAAAAAAATCGAAAATGAAAATTTTTATATATTTTTACGTTTCAGAAGTTTCTGAAAATTTAGGCATACTTTAGAAAAAAATGGATGTATGTGTGTGTGTGCGAATACAAATTTTGTCGACGATTTTGCGAACACGGATCAACCGATTTTAATAATTCAAAAAACATTTGATTCCTACTGATAAGGAGACGTGCTGATTAGTTTTTGGCAAAGGCAGGTCTAGCCGTTTTGGAGATACGGGGCAAAAAGTGCCAAAAATTGTATTTTAGTTTTAGTATAACGGAGCGTTCGATTTAAATAATTCAAAAAACAGTTTACTTATGTTGACGAACACCTAGTAATGAACAACTGGTAAAATTTTTGTTAAGGCAGTTCTAGCGTCTCCCGAGATCCAATACAAAAAGTAACTAGTGGTGTATGGCATCGTGCTTTAAGGCAAATTGCTGGAACTTTCCGTACCGTAATGAAATATTCGAGAAATTTTAAACGTTTTCAAATATATTATTACAAATACTGTAACTTTCATTATTTTTGCTATCTTGTTTGTTATATCTGAGCAAATCAAATGTAAATCATAAATCATAAATAAATTTATCTCCAGAACATTAACAATCGTCATTTCATTTCGAATTCAAATTCAAAAAAAAAAATAGTTGCCTAATTTACACAAAATTGAAAAAGTGCTCCCGTATAGTCACATTCTAAGCGCATTTGCAAATAATTCTGTGCGATATTTTCACTTATACTGTGCTTAGCTTGGCGGCATTTTCACATTTTTCAAGAGTTTTCACAAAATTGGACAAGTGCTCCAGTACATAAACAGTCTAAACGCACTTGGGTAAACATTTGTACCGGAGTGGCGCTTAGACTGTGCTTAGCCTAGGTCATTTTTTGAATTTTTAATCCAAAAATTACAAAAAAATTTAATGAAAATGAAAAAAGATGTAATAATTTTTTATCCTCAAAAGCAATTGTTTTGTCAATACAAGCAGAAAGTTTTTTAGATCATTCAAATCGGACGCTTAGCTCACTCAAAAACTGTCATTTTTTGCACATTTAGCTCTGTATCTTCGAAATGGCGGGATCTGTCTTTGCCAAAAACTAATCACCTCTTTTCCCAATCATTACGAATTGAATGTTTTTTAGATCATTCAGATCCGATACTCCGTTCTCTCAAAAACTCGATTTGTATTTTCTGCAATCTTTGCACCGTATCTCCGTAACGGCTGGACCTGCCTTTGCTAAAAACTAATCAGCACATATCCCTATCAATAGAGATCGAATGTTTTTTAAACCATCCAAATTGGCTGATCCGTGCGCCCGAAAACGTGGACGAAAAAATGAGAACACACAAAACATACACACACACATCTATTTTTTCTGAGGTATGCCAAAATGTTCAGAAACCTTCAAAACGTCGAGAAATGCAAACACTTTCATTTTCGATTTTCGGCCCATTACTATAAATACCTTACGGAAAGTTAAAAATTATTGATTTGTGAAAATTTGCTTTCAGAAAATAATTCGAGTTAACGTGTTCGTTCGTTTTCAATTATGTGTAATAAATCCACTCGGAATACTTTTAATCACTCATAAATTTATTTTTTATTGATCAAGTCAATTATTTACACATATCGGAAAGTTCATGTAACTTGCCTCAAGGCAAAATACCAATACCAACTAGTTGATTAATTCGATTATTCACTTTTCAATTTCATTTTCTTTCCCCAGGCGTCTCTATTCCTGGTTACTAGGCTCCGAAGTGAACCTAAACGAAGTGACAATAGTGGAACAGGATGAAAATTCTAATCCTTATTTCGAAAACTATTCTCGTGATTTATTAGTACAAGCCATAAGAGTAACATTATCAAATAGTGCTTCAGAGCCCAAACCCGATTTGAAACCTTATCGGTTACTCATGTCACTTCTGGACAAATCAGAAATCGGTCCAGTGATCCTGGATGATATTTTATTGGATTTATTCAGAACTTTGTATAAAATCTTGTAAAGGCAACAAGTGTTGTGATGAAGTTTTGAAGTCGTCGAATATGCTGTTGAGTTCCTTAGAACCGTTTTATATCTGGGACTATGCAAGGTCACTTTTTGCCAAATGTTGCCAAACAAAATCCTTGGATACGACTGTAACACAGAATGGTGATAGCTGTGAGGTCCGGACTGATATTTTGGAGTTGTGCATGCTTTTAGAATATCTCTTAGACACCTTGCCTTTGGAGACTTATGTCGATACAATAAGTGAACATTTGCCAAAACTATTTGTTAAGTTGAGTGAACTTCTAATCAAACATCTAGATCAACTATCGATCGAAGAAATATTTGCTTCACTAAGTCTTTGTACCAAAATCGTTGCACGTATACAAACTATGGTCGTAACAACGCCGACACCTTTAGATTTAGATGAAGTATCAAACAGGTTGTCCACAAGTATGCACGAGATAAATTTAGAACACAGTCCTAACGAAACACAAGAATTGGTGTTGGAAAAAAGTAAATCCGATTCCAAATTAAATAATTCGATAGACTCAAGTTCCACGGACCAATCACCTAAAAAGAGTAGTCCCAGGAAATTGTTCAAGAAGAAAAAACAGTCGAACAAAATGAAAAGTTTGGATAGTTTAAACACAACTATTTCTTCAAACGATGATGTTGCCACTGGTGAAGATAAAACGAGTCCTGCAAAGGATATTTTAAGGAGTTTTGTGAGTTTGGATACGACAAAACCAGCTGAGAAACAAAGTTTGTTGGAGAAGTGTATAAGTTCATATCAGGATTTGTTTGTTAATTTTATAGCACTACGGGTTCTCAACTTTTCGAGCAAGACGAGGAGGACGAAAGTGAATGAGCTTTTTGAAGTTCTACTGAACGATGGTAAGATTAACACAATTCCTACCGACATATCATATTTGCTATTCCTACCGCGACCGGTCAAATGACCGGTTATGCAAAATCTATGTTTTTCAGTATTGAATGAAGAATTAATGGGCACAACTAGTGTAGCCGCCTAAAAAAAAGTGATTTTTGGGTATTTATATTGAAAAAAAATACTTTATCAATCATTTCAAAATTTTAACAATATATTTACACATGTTTTAAGAATACATAGTAAAATTTTTGAAGAAAAAAATTAAATATTTTTTAAGGTATCGTCAATCTACAACGGCGCGAAAAAAAGGCCCTTCACTGCTGCAGTGATTCCGGCCTTCTACGTGGATGAAATTTAAAAAAAAAATTTCGTTAAACTAGATAATATCATCTGAAAATGACCTAAGATAAGAAAATCAAAAATTGACAAAATGGCGGCGTTTTAAAAAGAAAAGTCGAATTTTACCCAAAATTTTGGTCGTTTTTGGACAGCCAACATTCGATTTTTGATCATATCAAAAAATCGATAGGTCATTGTACAGAGAACTATATATAGAACATGTAAAAAAATTTGATAGTGATCAGATCATTTGTTTTTCAATAATCACTGCAGCAAATTCGGAAAATGCTGTTTCGAGAAAAACGCGTTTAAAGATAAATTGATCGTTATACTATATACTATATATATACTCTTTAAATGGCTGTGACTCAAAAACTATATAATATATCGATTTAAAATTTTGGTATGTTTGTTTTAAAGGTATAACATATCAAAATATGAAAAAATTGAAAATTCGATATTTTAAAAATTTCACACTAGTTGTGCCCCTTAAGAGTTTAGAAATACAAATAAAAATATTTATTTCGTTTTAGAATGCGAAATCTGTATTTTATTCTGTTTTATCCATTTTTTTACTATTTTTTTTCTTAGAGTGTATTTTCTGCACACGCATTTTTTACGTTTTTGGCTGATTTTGTTTGTCCTATCATCTTTCTAAAACATTATCTGGAATATTTTCTTTTAAGAGGAATCTGTTTTGTACTTGTACTTAGTTGATTTTTTTCTGAATTCTTGTTGGAACTATACGGCAAGTTAATTGGAATAGAAAGTTCCTGCCTTGTACATAGTCTTCCCGTAATTTCTTTATGTGACAACAATGGATTTATCCTAAATAAATCCAAAATAATGTAAATCCTTGGTAAATTCTCTCTAAAATTCATGTTTTACCGAATGATTTCTGACTATTTTATGAATGACATCTAAACCAAACGCGACGCTAATACCAATTGAATTGACTCCCGTATTAGTGTATTTTTTTTCAATATATGTGTATGTAAGTGAAAATTAGAATCTTCTTTCTTAGCTTCCAAAATTGTAAATATTATTTGAGTGATGAAGTCCTTAATTTTTAGTTCTACCAGTATTTGTAGCTGTTATATTGCTTCAATTGTACCTACCACCACAGTTTTTTTTACTAAAAGTTTAGCTATATATAACGTTGTATATTTTTTACATCGTACTAGCGATTTTGATAATACGGTTTCATCTATTATATAAAAATAAGTCGGTTTTTCCTTCCTGACGATATAACTCCAGAACGCACGAACCGATTTCGACGATTTTGCATTCGTTGGAAAGGTCTCGGGCTCCGTGAGGTTTATAGCAAAAAAAAATTGAAGAAAGATTTCAACAGAAAAGCTAAAAACACTTTTACTTTTTTTCACATACATGTCATCTCTGATACTTAGCATGTACTACAAACTAATATTTTTTGTTTGACTGCTACTAATTTGTTTGACAACTACTCATTGTTTTCTGCTCAATTTTATGTGACAAACCGGCATGGTGTCCACTGTGAAATTGTGCAAAAAAAGTAAAAAAATAAGTTATTAGTTTTCTAACATTTCAATTGGAAACCATCAAATCAATCACGTGTATTGTGCAAATTTTTTATTCAATTTCAACAGCAGGCATTTTTTTCTTCATCTTTTAATCACCAAACGAAATGTTACATAAAATGAAACCATCTGGTGGTGAAACGGAGTTCGCCCGGTTTGCTAGTTGGTCATAAATCTTCAAAGAAATTCTCAGTTTTATACGTATACTGGATGGTTATCAAAATTTTATACCCCATTTGTGCGATTTGCTGGGCATAATTATATTTACATCATATATTGAATGGTTACTAAAATTTTATACTACGTTTTCCTGAATATTATTGATCATGTGTTGAATAAAACACCTTACTGTTATTGAAAATATATGTTTGTCGATAGTAATACGTGGTCTTTTACAACAATTTTGATTGCTGTCAATGTAGTTGAACCAACCTTTGGATTCAAAACAAAACCTATCAATTTGTTGTTTGGATTCCTTCGTAAAAATCTGTCTACGCATAGACATTGAGCAAAAATGAGAAAACCCACTTTTTATACCGTAGAAGTGCAATATTTATACTCCTTGCCTCATATGCGCAGCGGGCATAGAAAAAAGAAAAAAACGCATATAAAGGGTCTGATCGTGTTTTCTATACAGAATTGGCGCCACCATGGTATTATTATTCAAATGATTTTGATGCCATTTTATGGGTATTTTCGAGAAACTTCGAAATACCAAATTTGAAATCCGTAACTCATCATTTGGCCGAGATATCATTGAAAATATGTGAAAGTAGCCCCTTTTTTCAAAGTCGTTTTTTGTCGCAACTGTAAAAGGTATCGACAAACAAATAACGAGATTCTATTCACATCGGTGTGTACTATATTATTAATAACAAATATTGTTTAATAATTATTTTTTAGTGTATGAAAAAGCATTGCTCCGCTCGCCTTTGCAATTGAGAGACGACTTTACGCAGCTCTTCTATGAGCGCGAGCGTGTACTTGCTCAGGTTTTTCCAACTTTTGAATGTGTTCTACCACATGGACTAAAACTAAATTTTGCATAGCATAAGAAAAACGAATAGCCATTCTAACGATGCTAACTAAAAATTAGTCCAAACAACCGCACTACCCGAAAATTCAAAACAAAAAATTATTTTCGCTTTTTTATACACTAACTTTCATTTAAATGAAATGATGATTTTTGAATAACAGAAGAAAAGTGTACAGGTTTTCGAATGATGCTAATATAAAAGTAGTCAAAAGAGCCGCACTGGTAGAAAATGGAAAATGAAAAATCATTTTCACCTTTTCACGCCCTAACAAATAATTTTTTCACATTATTTGTTATGAACAACATAGACAAGATCAGTATAAATAGAATGACGTTAACAGTTTTTCGATATCTCTCATATTTCCGGCAAAAAGTGAGTTTGAAAAAGGGGGCAACTTTCACATGTTTTCACTGATATCTCGGCCAAATGATGAGCTACGGATTTGAAATTTGGTATTTGGAATTTTCTCGAAAATACCTATAAAATGGCATCAAAATCATTTGAATACCAGAGTGGAGACAATTCTGTATGGAAACACGATCAGACCCTTTGCAGAAGGCAGTTTTCACCACTCTAAATTCTTATGCATTTACATTTTCTTGTAAGTTTGATCATATTCTTAACAATTACTACCAAAAATGTCGTCGGAACATCGTCTTTCATACTATCGGTCAAATGACCGGTCGCGGTAGGTAAGACAGTATAAAATTTTTTTTTTCCAAAAATGTATCATACTCACATATTAGGAAAAGTCATACAGTTTGATGACGATTCAATTACGTTTGATATGAAAAATACCAATCGAAATATCAAAAACAGTCATTTGACCGGTCCCGGTAGGAATAGCGTTATAATAATTTACTAACAAAACCACATTCTAATCTCATATTTCTTTTCCCTCAGGTAACAAAATATACGACGCCGACATCAGCGTGAAGACTCTCGAAAAAATCCTAAGCAACTCTTCAGACCTTTCGAGAGCGACTCAGTCGTCCAGGCAGAATGTTGACAACAACCTCACAGCCAGTTTAAAATTTGTCCAGACCAAGAACGACCAGAAACTAATAGACACCATCAAACTCTCCTGCAGACTCCTGGTCGAACTATCATCTTTTCCCACGTATAGCCAGAGCGACAACAACCAACGGGACAGGTATCTAGTGTTAAAAGTATCGAGGCAAGAGATCGATATTGAGTACTTTAAAAAAAATATCTAATCAAAATTAATATCGATGCCAAAAAAATATCGTAGCGAAAGTATCGATAGTACTCAATATCGAATTTTGAGTACTTTACATAAAAATCAAACATAAGTGCAAGAAAGATCTAAGACTCATTAAGTATCATATCACCATATCAGAATGAATTATATTGCTTGTATCTAACGTGTTAAATCAGAATCAATTTCAATATTGTAAAATGTTAACAGTAATTTTTCAATACTAATTTCAAATTTTATACTTAAAAAAAAAAGACAAATTATAACAGTTGAGTATTTTTGTTTAAAACAATATAATAGTCTGATACTATATGCAAAATGCAATTTATTTTAAGTATTTTAAATACAGTAATATCTTATATATAAAATGAATCGCAAAATGTATTGGTAAGCGCATAACTCAACAACGCCTGGACCAATTTGGCCAATTCTCTTTTTAAAATGTTTGTTGAAATTCAAGAATGGTTCTTACGGCGAGAAAAAATCGAATAATTTCCAAGAGAACCCTAAAAACTGCTCTTTTCTTTTTCTCATACAAACGTTTTCTAACTAAAACGTAGAATCAATTTGAGCTTTATTGCTATTATATAAAGTTCATATTAAATTACGAGCTCTCACGCTATACTCTTTCTAAACGATTATTCGGATTTTGATAAATCTTTCTGAAGTTTGTTAAGGAAATTTTCTAGGATGTATGTGATTATAAAGTACTGGGATGTATGTGCAATATTGTAGAAATGAATGGAAAAAATTGTATAAAACGGCATGTCATAGTTTGCATTGAAAACAAATGAAAACTATCATCTGCCAAAAAATTCAATTTATTTATGAACCCACACAATATTAGAATATGTATAATAAATTTATGATTCTGAATAAGAAAAATTAAATGTCTACATTATTATTGTCAAAAAGCAGCTGAGATGTGTCAGAAATTAAAATAATATAAAATACAGTATATGTATGGAAGATTGAATGATACTCATATTAACAGGATATGACAAATTAATTCACTTAAAATATGAAATTAAGTATTAATCAGGGCCGGTCCTACCTTTAATGCGACGCATGCGAAAAATACGAGTGCACGCCTTAGGGGGCGCCAACACAAGATTCGGATATTAAATTTTCAATATAGTTTTTGTTTTCAATATATATTTTTTTGCATCTTTTGCTAATCTTTCCACAATATTTTTAAAATTCGCAAAAATTGGAATCGAATATATTGAAATTGATGAGTATTATTGTTTGAAATAATCATACTTCGAATATGTTTTTATAAAACATTTTGGTACTTTAAAAAGGGGTTTCATTTTACATAAGAGTAATAAATAAACATCTTTATTTATTAGTGTGGTCATATTCATTTTGGGTTTTTGAGCAATAAATTCTGAGACTAATGACCCTTCGAAGTTTTTTTTGACACTTCCTTGAACAGTTATCACCACCTATAGAGACTTTTGCATTGCATTTGGCAATGAGTGGTGTCGATAGCAAAAGTACTCACTATCGACCGCAAAGTATCGATATTTACTCAGTACTGATATTTCGTTCTAACACTACAGGTACCAGGATACACAATCTCAGAGTCATTTACCAGGAGACAGACAGTTGTCGGAGTGGTTAAAAGTGTTGTCTTTGTGTGCATGTTTGTTTAAAACGGAACCAGAAGTGCAACTATGTGCTATTTCCACATTATTAGACTTGACCAGTTTGCTAAAGACACAATTGGAGAGCAGAGAGTCCAGTGTTGGAGTCACTGCTGTAGTTGTAATACCGCTGATGAGGAGATGGCATATCGAATATTTGGAGAAGAATACCAAAGTGTTTCAGGTAATAAAATAAATTGATTCTCAAACAATTTGATTGTGTTTGTTAACTTCCCGAAGGAGAAGTTTATGTTTTCATCAAAAAATCCGATTCGCTAATTTTATGTTTTCTCCCGGACGTTTCAAGCCATTCTGAATCGAATGAGACCAACTTTGGAAAAAGTATGTGTGTGTGTGTGAACAGATTTTTTGCCGTAAATCGACGTTTTCTCAAAAATGGCTGGACCGATTTCAAAACTTTAAAAGCCATTCGATGTATCTCGATCAGGACTAGCGTTTATCAATTTTGCGCGACAGTCAGCCAAACCGTTTCTTTGTAAATAACAGAAAAGTGAAAAATTTTTCGTCCATGTTTTAGCTCGCAGTTCTGAATCGATTTTGAAAATTCAAAAACCGTTCGAAAAATATTGGTTGGGAATCGTGCTAATTAGTTTTTGGTATAGATCGGCCGGGCCGTTTTCTTGTAATAAAGTGTTAAAAAAATTTTTTTCAATGATTTTTATTATTAACTTCCCGTAGGGTAGTTATAGTAATGGGCCGAAAATCGAAAATGAACATTTTTGCATTTCTCGACATTTTGAAGGTTTATAAACATTTTTAAGGGGCATACCTCAGAAACTAAATAGATGTATGTGTGTGTGTGTATGTCCGCGTTTTTCGTCCACGTTTTCAGGCGCACGGATCAACCGATTTGAATGATTCAAAAAACATTCGATTTCTATTGATAGGGAGATGTGCTGATTAGTTTTTGGCAAAGGCAGGTCAAGCCGTTACGGAGATACAGAGCAAATAGTGCAGAAACTACAAATCGATTTTTGAGAGATCGGAGCATCTGATTTGAATGATCTAAAAAACATTCAATTAGTAATGGTTGGGAGAAGTGGTTATTAGTTTTTGGCAAAGACAGGTCGCTCCATTTTGAAGATACGGAGCAAAATGTGCAAAAAATGGCAGTTTTTGAGAGAACTAATAAGCGTCCGATTTAAATGATTAAAAGAACTTTCTGCTTGTCTTAACAAAATAATTGATTTTGGAAAAAAAATATATTTTCTTGTATGTCGAAAATGTTTCAGATTTTATTTTTAATAAAAAAATTTAATTGTAGTCGGACTACAGTTCTAATATACTTTAAACAAATAATTTCAACTTTGCAATTCTGTTTAACCAAAGTATTTATTTATAATAATCTATTTGAAAACATTTAATATTCCTCGAACATTTCGTTTGGATACGGGAAGTTCCAGCAATTTGCCTTAAGGCACGATGCCGTATACCCCACTAGTTTGAATTTTTAATCCAAAATTACAAAAATATTTTATGGAAAATAAAAAAAGAAATAATAATGTTTTATCCCAAAAGCAATTGTTTTGTCAATACAAGCAGAAAGTTTTTTAGATCATTCAAATCGGACGCTTATTAGTTCTCTTAAAAACTGCCATTTTTTGCACATTTAGCTCTGTATCTCCTAAACAGCAGGACTATGCTATTGAAAAATGTGAAAATGTTCTCAAGCTAAGCACAGTATAAGTGAAAATGCCGCACAGAATTGTTTGCAAATGCGTTTAGATGTGCACTTTTTCATTTTTTTTGTAAATAAGGCAACTCAACTTTTTTTTTAAATTGAATTCGAAATGAAATGACGATTGTTAATGTTCTGGAGATGAATTGATTTATGATTGATATAAAAAGATAGCAGAAATAATGAAAGTTTCAGTATTTGTAATAATATATTTTAAAACGTTTAAAATTCCTCGAACATTACGGTACGGGAAGTTCCAGCAATTTGCCTTAAGGCATTTTGCCATACACCACTAGTTTACTATTGTGTTTGTTTCTCCAGATACTTGCTTTCACCTTATGGAACCACCTCAGTCAACCACCAAACTTGGACACAGACAGCAAATTAAACAGCCATGCATCATCGCCTGATTACGATACCTCTGGTATTGATTCCAGACATAACTCTGTGAATTCTAGAGATTATTCCAAATATCAAATATCAGACAGTCTTGATAGTGTATGCAATTCGGATAAAAACAGTAGAATGTTACTGAGTGCTCAATTGTTGCATCAGTTACACGATTGTGTCTCTCCTGGTAATTCACCAGCAGAGAGAGTGATTGGTGAAAGTATGGGGCCTGATAGGAATAATGGGCAACGATTGGAGAGTTTTCAAAGGTAAGGGTAAATGATACATAGATAAATAAAGATATTTATCAACAAATTATTGTTATTTTTGTTTTTAGGTTTGCTACTTTATGGCATCTCGGCAGATGCACCTCGGGCTCTGGTTCTGGTGCAGGGAAGCCTATGAGGACATTTGACAAGTAAGATTGTATTTTTGTAAGACATCTGTTTCTTTATATTTCATTCTTGACAAATGATACTTTGCATAGTCGTTAATGGTCTAAATAAACATTGTAAAATATTATAGGCTTATGATCTTTTTTTTTTTAATTCTGAATTTGTTTCTGAAATTTTAGGGATATATTCTTAGCTAGATTTGGAAGACATTTTTGCAAAAAAAAAAAAAAATTTAAGCCTCTAAAGCAGTGATTCCCAACCTTTTTTGGGCCCCGTCCCACCTTGAGGTTTACAAAAACGTTATGCCTCCCCATACAATTTTTTTTGTTTCTGAAAAAATGTGAATGATAACTTTTAAGATGAAATCGCTATTAAACATCATAAGTGAAATTTCGGAAGAAGCCAACAAACGGAAGTTTCAAACTAATTTTATTACTGTTTTTTCGAAATTTATTTAATGCAATACTTAAGCTAAAATAAAGATTTTATATTAGGTTGTAACTTACTAAGCTTTTTCTTTTTGTAACAAATTTTTGTACATATGATTACATTTGGGCATTTGGTTTCAGTTTCTTCATAAAGACATTTCTTAACGAATCTACTTAGCTAGTTGACATTTTCTTAACTCAGAACAGAAATATATCTATATTTTATATATATTTATTGTTAAATCTTTTTTAGTTAATAGGTTGGCAACTAAGTAAGTGCGCATCTTTTATTAGAAAATTATGGACAATTTTTGCGTGGAATTAAATAACTTTGCTCTGTATACCATTTTGGTCGATAACCTTTTGTAATTTTCCAAGAGGCATCGTTATCCAAAGTTTATAAAACTTCTAGTTTTTATCAGCAAAAACTGAATTATGTACAATTTGACACCATCATGACTTTTTTTAATTCAAGGGTTTTAAACAGATGGTTAGTGGTCAGGAATATTTGATTTAATTAGGTTGTCCAAAATTTTAACTGGACGATCAGAGCAGCATTGAGTGAAAAATCACCAGAATGACATTTTCAAAACCAATTTTAACATAGCTGTTTTTTAAGGCTTCGACACCATAAACAGCATCTATTCTTCGGGAGGATCGTTTTACCTTTTGCAGAAATAAAAATGCAAAATTTGACTAAAATATTTGCTTTGATATTCCATCTTTTTACATGTAGACTACCTCAACAAACCTAAAGAAACATTTGAAGCAATCTAAGAGTAAAAACTGCACTTAGTCGCCAACCTTATACTATTTAATGATAAATGAAAATTATTTTGTTTTAAATTAATTCTATCTTTAGACATAGTTACTAACAGTGAGTAAAAAACTCATGTCATATTTACGATTTTTCCGCTTTTAAAGCCTTGTATAAAATTCTGTTCGCATAAAGCTTCACAATTAACTTTAGTATTAAATATCACTTTTCTTGTGCACATTTCAAGTCGAGTCTTGTCACAAACCCTAAAATAAGGCACTTGGCCAAGCAGTCAGAAACTTGATTTACCTAATTTTTTGGTAATTTTCATACATTGGAATATAGAAGTTTAAAATAATTAGTGAAGGGCTATTTGAAACTAAAGAATTTTTGCATTGCGCAACATTATTTTTCATAATGTTTAGCTTTATATAAGCAGTTTATTGCATATATCATTTTCAGATTATAATGGATAGTTTTAATTTTATTATAAAGTAACGCCAAACCGGGACACCTTATTATTAGTTAAATCTAAGAAGCATTTTTTTGTTAAATGTTTTACCGATACAATACTACATTACAGTAAAATCACCAAAATTTTCAAATTGCCCCCTTGAAATTACAAATTGCCCTCCGGTGGGGCGTGCGCCCCACGTTGGGAAACACTGCTCTAAAGCAAGCTTTTGCCTTAATGAAAAGGAATACCGATGATAATATCGATGATAATTCTTCACTATCAATTTCTTCCAGAGCTCTTTTAAAAATGCTGGACAATCTACAGCTCCCTGAAAGTTCATCACTCAAACTCTACTCCGCCAGTTGGGTAACACAATCACTCCTCCGTGGAGACCTCCACCGACTACTAGACCCTATTCTATTCATCCTTCTCGATCCCCTGACATCTCGCATGTCTATCCTGCACGTCAGCATCAGACACAGCAACACCAGACTTACCAACAAAGCTGATTCCGAATACGGAGAACAAGCTGATACAAATGCCAATGATTCGAAAGCCAATTCTAAGGTCTATGCCATCAGTTCGGTCGATGGCAATGTCATTTACCATGTGTCAGACGATTGTGACAAAGGCAAAAATGGTGGTAAGAGTTTTACCAAGAAGATTATGAGTCCTTTGATGAGGAACAATAAGTTTTATTCGTTGAAAGATAGAGGGGTTAAGAAAGGGAATGTTATTGGTAAGCATTATACGGTTAATGATGTTCCTGAGAACGGCTTAGCGGTGTCTCCAACACAAATTTGCTTGTTTGTAAATCCATTCTCGACAAGTGATTCGTGCAGCGACAGCAACTTAGAAAGTTACACACAAGATGATACTAAGACTAAAATAACAAACACCAGCACGGATCAAACTTCCAGCGAGAGCACCAGTTTTGCTGATGAATTTTATGATGCGTTTCCTTCACAACAAGATGAAGTCATCGAGTCTTTGTATCGATCCAAGTCTGTGTCGGGAACATCATCAGGACGCTCCACAGAAATCGTGGGTATGACCACATCCAAATCAGCAGAAGACGTTTCCGAAAAACCTAAAACAACAGCTTCAAAGTTAACTGATATCCTAAACCCTGCTAACTTAAGTGATGGTTTAATCGAGCATTTAGAAAGCACCATGAATGAAATCAAGGATGGTGCACCGGATATCTGCGATGCTCCTGTACCTGCCGATGAATATTTTGAACCGCCACAAGAAAAAGTCGGACGTAAAAAGAGGAAGTCTCATAGGTGCTACGATAATGGTTATTTAGCCAAAGGTGTACACCAGTTGCATTCGCATATGCTTTTATACAGTGAAGTTTATGATTCCAACCGCACCATATATGCTTTACAAACTTTGCGCAATGAAATTTTAACGAATCCAAGAGTTTTCTTGTGTTCTGCAGCAACTACAGGGATTTCTAACGTTCCCAAAGGTGCACATTTGTTGACACTTTTGGCCAGGCACAAGAAAAGTATTTACGGTCATGGTTTTTATGGACCGATAGCTAATACTGAATATATATATTCATACAGAAATTGTATGTACCTAGAGATTTTAATCACGGTGTCTTTACATTTTGCAAGAAGCTACTACCCGAATTTGGGTAACGTCAAGTTGACCCCGGAGGAACTTTGTGGTAACCAGAAAGTACAACTAGCCAGCGCTGAGTTGTTGATGTTGATTTGCACACAACTCATCACGTTTGTTAAAGAAAATGGTAAAGGTTTTGCTTCTTACATCGGAGACTTGTTAAACAAATGCAAAGTGCACAAAATCGTACTTCACTGTGTTATATCATCCGTGTACTTTATGAAAATGCTTAATGATGGCGAGACCGATATAACATTCACCGAGGAAATAATGTCTTTTAACGATCCAGACTTTGATGACTCCACAATAAAATCTAAAATATCAAATCACACTGAAAGTTTTCAAATACAACTTTTACACTTGTTGCAAGCATTGATTGTTTTAGAGTACGAAGTGAATGCTCAAAAAACAGAAGACGTTGTCTTAAATGTAGCACCTGGTGTCGTCGAAAAAGAGTCACCAATAAGTGTCGTTAAAATGACATCATTAAAATACAACCCGAGTAGACCAATAACACAACAACCAATATTCTTAGCCTCTATACTTTTAGCTTTACAAATGGATTGCATAAGGCATCTGCACCAACATTGGACATCATTGCTATCCTCGTCATTACCATATATAACCACAAACTTTAAAAAAATTGTCATTAGTGTTATTCACCAATTGTGTTCAAACTTAGAGAAAGTTTCAGTGCACTACGATGGAATCAGCGATGGAAATATTCTACCACCTGATTATACGATAACCCAACTGGAAGCCTTGACTGTTTTGTGTCACTATTGTCTTCTGGACAGCAGTCAGCAGACTTTGCACGTTTTTAATCAGACCTACAATCATGGTGGATCTGGTGTTACGAATAGCAATCCGGGACAGATTTTTAATAACCTGATACATGTGTTTATGCCGACGCCTTTGCAGCAACAGGACGGGTCTGGACAAGGAAAGGGCAGTCAGCATGAGATTCATATGGCGGTAAGTAGAAGAGAATCGAGAATATTAATACTTATATATATATATATATATATATATATATATATATATATATACATATATATACTAGCTAACCCGGTAAACGTTGTTTTGCTAAGTAAGGTATATTCTAAACAATTTCTAGAGAATCAAAAAGATTAATAACTTTAAATGTATAAGGATGTGTTGTTTGAATGCTATATACAATAAGGTATTATAAAAACAATAAACCCCATTAGTTTGTCTATATTTTGTCAATACAATCAAACTGGAATTTATACACTTTCTATAGAAAAACATGGTATAATTCATTCAATCCAAGTCTTTTTTGGTCTTTCGACTTATTGATTACGTTTCAAGTTTTTCAGATTCTTTTGAGATTCTGGATCTTGTGTATAATTGTAAATAATACTACTGAGCTTATACAAAATTTCGTATTTCGTGTGAGGAGAGATAGAAAATAAATTATGTATTTCTTCTTTGACATGCTTTTTGAAAATTTTCAAGTAACATTCGATGAATTAAAGTAAATTTAATAAAAAGTATATATGTCGAGAAGGACGAGACACAAAGGTCCAATTTGACTTTGAGCAAATATTAATTATATTGTAAAAACCATAACAATTATATCACAACAAATAACACATTTCAAACGAACAATTATCTGACTACGTTCAGTAAAACTGCCAGCTACTTCATCATTGTAGAAAGATGCTTTTTTGCTATCTTTCAAAAATTTGTTATCTAGACCTTTTTACCATATAGGCAGAATAACTTGTAACAGCCAGGTGGAAACAGGTTTAATGTCTTATTTTAATTTTAAAGGTATTTTACAAAACAATTACATTTTTAACTAATGTTAAAAAACTACCAACGGAAGAAAATACTTTTATTATGGATTTTCAAAGATTACCCTTTATCTCCCGATAGCAAAGTCATGAGAATCAAGCCTATACCTGGTATACATTTTTTACCCTCTACTTTCAAATATTGTTGTTGAACAATGCTTAACTTTACTGGTTTTTGGCACATTGGTGGTGGACTTTTTTAACCCCGGACCTTCATATATTACTATCCATTCTTCGATAAATTCTGGGAAATGATAATTGGGAAAATGTTATTCGACAAAATGTCCCTTTAATCGATACCAAATTTAGATTCCGAATTTAAATAACATAAATAAAAAATAATATAACCTAGAAAATGTTTTATAAATACCAATGAGTATATAATTATACAAATGAGATCTTTTAGAGCACCGTGCTTGAGAAAAATATGAGTTGCAAAAAAAGAGTGCTACAACGCCAAAAAATGCATTTTCATATTAACATTTCAAAAAAGTTGATATTGTTGAGTTTGTAGTAACACTTGCAGCCCTATTACATGATTTTACTGAATTGCAAATTTATAGCTGTTTTTGTAAGAAACATGTGTGATTTTATATTTTTATAATTTAGTACACATATTAAGAAATAACATACTAAAATTTTGTAACTCTAGTATAACGTTTTATATTTTTAAATATTTTTCGAAATACTCATCAAACCGTGGACTTGCAACTATTGCAAGAGTGCATTTGTTTACAAAATTGGACATTTATAGCTTTTTTTGTTAGAAACATATGTGATTTTATATTTTTATAATTGAGTACATATATTAGGCAATAACATACTGAAATTTCATAGCTCTAGCATAATATTGTATATTTTTAAAACATTTTTCAAAAGTACTTCTCATATCATATTCAACCGTCGATTCGCAACTAATAAATGTTGCGAAAGAGTATGCAAGTGTGCATTGCAATTTTTTAGTTCCTTCTGTTAGAAACATATTTGATTTTATATTTTTATAATTCAGTACACATATTAAGAAATAACATACTATAATTTCATAACTGTATTACAACGCTTTTAATTTTTAAAATATATTTTAAGCCGTCAATTTGTTTACGTCAAAACTTTTACTAACGTTTTTGTATAGAAATAAAAGTACAAACAAAACTACTCACTACAATTTAATCATCATCTTATTAAACGTAGGTAATCGAGCATCATCTGTCAAAAACATTTGACATTTGACGTATTAGCCACCGTCCATTGTTTTATTCAAATTACGCTTCTACAAAAAAATTCAAATAAAAAATGTAAAGTTTCTACGCGATTTTGAAACAATATCTCAACAATCCGACAACCTACTGATTAGCACGAATTTTTAAGACTAAGACTGGCCAAATCGGTTCAGCCGTTTTCGAGTTTTAGCGTTACCATTTGTTCGAGAGCTCTATTTTTATATATAAGATAATCGTTAAATTAAATGTGTTTTTGCTTTTTAGGCTCGTCAAACAGTTCTTTCCCATATGCCACGAATAATGGCAGCAGTTGCACGTTTGTGGGAAGGAGTGACATCATCGTCGACGTCCAAATTGATTTCGCCACGTGGGGAAGTAGGTGTGGTGAAGCAGCAGTTGCTGGAACTGCTGAGTCCAATTTCTCTGCATCACGGTGTCAATTTTTTGGCTGCTGTCGCAGTAGCTTGGCTCGAAAGGAAGACTCCTGAGGATAGGAGCAACTGTTTGAAGAACCAAGGAGCAAAATCGGTGAGGAAAAAGACAAGTTTTTTTTACACTCAATTATGGACAGTAGAGGACTTTTATCTTTAGAAGAATATATAAATTAGGGTGGTCCTTAATATGGACATTTTCGAATTTCCTTGCTCCCAAGGGCTCAAATGGTTCCAAATTGATGAAAAACAATTCTCTCAAAGTTTTGCTCATAAGGGGCACAAGTAGTGTAAAATTTTCAAAAAATCGAATTTTTAATTTTTCCATATTTAGATAGGTTATATCTTTAAAATAACATACCAAAATTTGAAATCAATATCTTAAATAGTTTTTGAGTTACAGCTATTTAAAGAGTATCTATATAGTATATAGTATAACGATCATTTAATCTTTAAACGCGTTTTTCTCGAAACAGCATTTTCTGAATTTGCTGCAGCGATTAGGGTAGGGCGGGGCTAGTTGAGCAAATTTTTACTTAAACGGATGTAGCACCTCAATGAAAAGTCTCAATAAATTGCTATATGACTTAATGGATTTGTTGTTTATCGCTTAACAAAAGTGTTAATACTATTTTTTGGTAATAAGTAAACTTTAAAAGCTACAGCTGTTTAAATGCAAAAAGTCAAGTATGCTCAATGTACCCCATAGGTGAGGCAAGTTGAGCACTAAGAAAGTATAATAAAATCATAGGTTCAATGTCGATTAGTAATGAAATAAAATAAGTTTTTAATAACCAGTTCTATATTTATAGTCTTTATTGACAGAGAAAACAAAACTTATAGTAATTTGCTTTGAATAATTAACGAAAAGTAGAATCAGCAGAACAATATCGTAGCTTAGGAATTATTTTACCATTATATTCAGTATTTTTGTTTAAAATCATTATTTCTTTATATTACTACTCATAGACTTAGCTTAAATCTTAAAAATAATGATCAATTTCTGGAAGTTAATGGTAATTGTCTTAGTGACAGAACAAGTTTAGCAACTATGCTCAACTAACCCCAACTCGGAATTTCAAAATAAAAGTGAGTTTATAAAAAAACCGTGAGAATTATAGCCAGAATCTCTGTGCATATTAAAAGTACTATAATTATATGATAGAATAACATTTACCTGATTAAAAATAAATAACATTTGACTAAACCAGACGAAAACTCGTGATGAATTACGTTGTTACTTTTTGGTCTCAAAATAAACAAAACGCCCGTGAGCCTCACTCATTTGTCAAGCGGCCACTAGCAAATCGCGGGATGTTTATTTTTCCCAAACCTCTATCTTTCCGCCATATAATGCCTAAACATACGGTGAATAGTTTTCGAGATATTTCGATTGCTCAACTTGCCCCTATGCTCAACTAGCCCCGCTCTACCCTACTCAAAAACAAATGATCCGATCACTATCAAATTTTTCTTTACATGTTCTATATAAAGTTCTCCGTAAAATGAACTATCGATTTTTTGATCGGATCAAAAATCAAATTTTGGCAGTCCAAAAACGACCAAAATTTTTGGCTAAAATTCGTCTTTTTTTAAAAAAACGCCGTCATTTTGTCAATTTTTGATTTTTTTTCTTCATCGTAGTTCATTTTACAGACAATATTATCTAGTTTAATAAGAATTTTTTTTTAATTTCATCCACGTAGAAGGCCGGAATCACTGCAGCAGTGAAGGGCTTTTTTTTGTCGCGCCATTGGAGATCGACGATAACTTAAAAAATATTTAATTTTTTTCTTCAAAAATTTTACTATGTATTCTTAAAACATGTATAAATATATTCTTTACATTTTGAAATGATTGATAAAGTAGTTTTTTTAATATAAATTCCCAAAAATCACCTTTATTTTAGGCGGTTACACTAGTTGTGCCCCTTAATATTAACTTTTAGATAGAGCACAATTCAATCAAAGATTTGCATGGAAATCGCATGAAACATTCAAAAATTTTGCAGAGCGTCAAATTTTCAATAAAAAATGACACGAATTTTTTACTTTTAATTCATTTGTCGCTAAGTTATACCTAAAAAAAAAATTTTAATTTTCAAAACTTTTTTCATGCTATTTCCATACAAAACTTTAATTGAATTGCGCTCTATCTAAAAGACAATACTAAGAGCTAAAACTTTCAGAGAATTATTTTTATCAATTTGGAACCATTTGAGCCTTTGGGAGCAAGGAAATTCAAAAATGTCCATATTAAGGACCACCCTAATATACATATATCTTTTATCTAGGTGTTGCCAACTGCTAACACGAGTCAGCGTGTCCTGGTCTATCTGGTATCAGAGTTAAGAGTTATGCCAATGGATGTGCTGGTCAGAACAGTTCACCAAGTTGTCAAATCGCCTCCACAAGTTGTCCATGACGGAAACATGGGCAAAGGACCAGAACAGAGTTTGGATGTGGGAGTTTTGGAACTGTTCTACTGGTAAGAAAAAAATAAATATACCTGTTAACGCCACACTCCCAACCCTGGTCTAATTATTATATTTTATTACCTTCATACAGGATAGCAATAATAAACCCTCATCCCTTAAATAATCTCTCTTATTGACATGCATCCTGTCCCTAAATATATCATCCTGCAATTAACTTATATTTCTAAGAAATTCGGATCACCTGTACCCGGTTTTAATTCTACGTACCATGCAATGGTTGATGAATGTAATAGCCACTGATTGGGCCCAAAATTGTAATGGAATGTCGCTTAATTCCACAAAATAAACCAATCAGAAAAATATATAAAATTGTAAAATCTTTATAATCTAGTAATAACTCAAATTTCATCTAGCTAACATCAGTTTTAAATCAACATTCAAAGCTATAACATCTAACATATCATCTATAAGTCTTAATATTTCATTCAAATATAAAATAATTAAACATTTATTAACTTCCCGTAGAGTAAGTTATTGTAATGGGCCGAAAATCGAAATTGAAAATTTTTACATTTCTCGACGTTTTGAAGGTTTCTGAACAATTTGGCATACCTCAGAAAAAATGGACGTGTGTGTGTGTGTGTGTGTGTGTGTATGTATATATGGATACAATTTTTCGTCCACGTTTTCGGGCGCACGGATCAACCGATTTGAATGGTTCAAAACACATTCGATTCCTATTGATAGGGAGATGTGCTGATTGGCAAAGGCAGGTCAAGCCGTTACGGAGATACGGAGCATAGAATGCAGAAAATGGAAATAGTATTTTTGAGAGATAGGAATATCCGATTTGAATGATCCAAAAAACATTCAATTTGTGATGACGGCGAGAAGGGGTGATTAGTTTTTGGCAAAGGCAGGTTCAGCGGTTTCGGAGATACAGAGCTAAATGCGCGAAGAATGGCAGTTTTTGAGAGAACTAAGCGTCCGATTTGAATGATTCCAAAAACTTTCTGCTTGTTTTAACAAAATAATTGATTTTGGAAAAAAAACATTTTGCTTCAAATTTTTTTTTTTTAATTTTTTTCCAAAAATTTTTTTTATATATTGAAAATAATTCAGATTTTTATTTTAATTCTGTTTTAATATACTTTAAACAAATAATTTCAACTTTCCAATTTAGTTTATATAATTCTTATAAATATTCGACAATGTTACAATATTTATAATAATCTATTTTAATACATTTAATATTCCTAGATCATTTCGTTACGGTACGGGAAGTTCCAGCAATTTGCCTTAAGGCACGATGCCATACACCTCACTAGTTATCATCTTTTAATCGGTCTGATATAGCCACTATCTAAATATATCTGGTCCTTCGACAATATAAATAAAGTGCAAGTGTTTTAATAGAGTTCGGCAGCATCTCAGTGGATCACGAACTTCTTATACACTTTTAACTATCTTATCACAACATACTTTTGGTTCATTCAAAACGAATGGTCAAACAGTGAACAATACCGAAGTATTAATTTCTTCAATGTTTCATATGTCTATTCTTACAGGTACATGCAGAGTGCATCTCCATCCCAGTTATCAGACATCTGGCCCTCTCTTTTGGGTCTTTTACGAGAAGGGGTCCAAGCCCCACTTTGTCCAGCAGCCCAATTCCTACTTTTAGCAGCTTTGAACGAATTTGCACAAAAATGTGCACAACTGCAAGACAAACGCGATCAGAGAGACTTACATGACATCACTGCCAAGGCAAGTAACAGAGTATAATAGATTAGATATAAATCGATCAAATATAATTTTAACCAGTTTATGAACATTTGTATTCTCTTCTCAGTTGGTCGAATCAGTATCCCAAGTTGCTGGAGGTTGTCTGCAGCAGACGACTTGGCTTAGAAGAAATTTGGCTGTGAAGCAAGAGGAGGATTTGAAGAGTTCGATAAGCAGTGAGAGCAGCCAGGGTGGTAGTAATGGACAGTCGATTGATTCAGAAAGTGGACGGATACAGAGTTCATCACAAGCTCAGAGCGTACAAGCACAATTGGTAAAGTAGACGATTTATATATTTACACTAGCAAACCCGACGAACTCCGTTTCGCCACAAGATAGTTTCGTGAGAAAGATGAAGAAATTTTTTGTTTGTTTTATATTTGAAAAGGAAAAATTTGATTTTATTATACAACAGTAATGAATTTATTTCGATTACAAAAATGAAGTGTTTTTTAGTTGAACTTCTCTAAGTAAATGAAAGTGAATCCGCAAATTATCTGTTTCATTGAAGTGCTCTTTGGTAAACCACATTTTTTGTTTTTTGGTCTGACCTTAACACAAACAAAGCGGATGGTTTTCCAACTCGTGAACAGGCAACGTATAACTGCCCATGTGAAAAACAATGATTTTCTAAATAATCTATTTGAAATTTATCCCGCAAACACTAAGTGATTGGCCTTGCGACTTGTTATTGCAAACGCAAGGCGAACTGGAAATTGCAATCGTTTCAAGTCAAACGGAAGACCAATCGGAATCATTGGTATGTCACCAAATCGCCAGCAATTTTTGATTGAATGGTGAAATTCAGTGCGTGTACATTATTATTCTTTGCGGCGCGAATTGCTCGTTGACTTAACCAAGCATAATTCTGATAATTCTCATTAAAGTCATTACTCGAATTTTTAATTACGGTGCATTAAGGCACGATGCCATGCACCACTAATTTTCTTAGCTATAAACCTTGCGGACAACTAAATCTTTCCAAGGAATGCAAAATTGTCGAAATCGGTTCGTGCGTTCTGGAGTTATTTCGTCAGGAAGGAAAACCCTACTTATTTATATATATATGGAAGATAAATATTGCTATTAATGTTGTAATGATTTTTTATTATTTAGGTTCTGGTGAGTTGTGGCTACTTTGTTGGACGCAGCCTTCTGACTAGATGTATATAGACACGATAACACAGGCTTAACAAAAATTTTTTTTTGATAATAGCATCAAATGCTAGAACTGTTCTTCATAGTATTTTTTGCGCAGATTTCAAATCTGCAAACCATTTTTTTTTATTGTATAGCTCTAGTTTTTTGAGATACAAAGAAGTTGCCGATCAGGTCCATTCTAGGTCGTCACGGAAAAGAAACTTTTGTTTTACAGTGTCAACTAATTCCCAACTAAAGCCGAATGGGTCTTGTAAGTTGTTAATGTACGAGTAGCATATCTCATTAAAATAACATTATGAATTGTATTACTATTTTGTACTTTCATTTCTTATATATCATATATTATCATATCTTGAAAACTAAAGCTCATAGAAAAAAACAATGTTTTTTAAATCAGCGCCCCAAATATACTTAAAAACAGCATTAAAATCGTTTGCACCATTTTCTTTGTTGGCCTGTGTAATTTATGTAGCAGTAGAATAAATTTGTTCTTGTTTTTTTTCATAGGTACCAATATACAAGAAAAGCCTGGCGAAAGGATGCCTTCGACCTTTTACTAGACCCAAGTCTGTTTCAAATGGAAAAGTGCTGCCTTAAACACTGGAGGACCATTATTGATAATTTAATGACGCACGATAATACTACATTCCGAGATTTTATGAGTAAAATAGAACAATCTTAGTATTATATTGCTGCTTTGCAGTGTCTAATTCTTAATTTTGTGTTATTTCTATTCTCAGATAGAGTATCGATGCCCCAAAGTGGTAGCCCTCAGTATTTTTCATCCCGGGAACAAGAATATGAACAACGAGCACTGCTTTTACGAAGACTGGCTTTTGTCATATTTCTGTAGCAGAATTAAGATCAAAATGTGAATTATTTTCGATATACAAAAAAAAAACTTCTCTTTCGGAAAGTTAAAAAAAAATTAGAAAAAAAATTGATATAATTTTTTTTCCAAAAGCAATTGTTTTGTGAACGAACACAAGCAGAAAGTTTTTTGAATCATTCATATCGGATACTTAGTTCTCTCAAAAACTACTATTTTTTGCATATTTAGCTCTGTATCTCCGAGACGGCTAAATCTGCCTTTGCCAAAAACTAATAACCACTTCTCCCCATCATTACAAATCGAATGTTTTTTGGATCATTTAAATCGGATACTCCATTCTCTCAAAAACTCGATTTCTATTTTCTGCACTCTTTGCTCCATATCTCCATAACGGCTGGACCTGCCTTTGCCAAAAACTGATCAGCACATATCCCTATCAATAGGATTCGATTGCTTTTTGAATTTTTCAAATCAGTTCATCCGTACGCCCGAAATCGTCGACAAAAAATTGTCTCTACACATACACACACTCATACACACGCACATTCATTTTTTCTGAACATTCATTCAAATCAAAAACATTCGATTTTACAAAGGCAGGTCCAGCCGTTACGGAGATACGGAGCGAAAAGTGCAGAAAACAGAAATCGAGTTTTTGAGAGAACGGAGTACCCGATTTGAATGATTCAAAAATTATTTTGCTTGTATTGACAAAATGAAAAATTGATGAAATTTTTGGTAAGGCAGGTCTAGCGGTTTTGGAGATACAGAGAAAAAAGTGAAAAAAGTGATATATGGCGGTCAAAATTATCATTAGACATATGCACATCAAATTATCTGATATTTAATACAATTTTTAAAATTGAGTACTAACTTTGATACAATTTTGTTGGGTTCCGTACCAAGATTGTTAATTTGTCAAGTTTACTTATAACGGTTCAAGCTAATTTATAAAATTTTGCGAAAAAAAAGATCAAAATTTTCAAAAATATACAAAGTTTTATACATGAAATATGAATTTTAAATTTACAATTCAGTTTGAAAATGTATATATTTCAAATGCGTTATTCTGATCGTAAGAAATATATCCTCAGATGGATTCACTCGTCACCTCTTGCTAATGTAAACTTTCTCAAGTGCTTTGAGCGTCACTATATATTTTATGAACATAAAATATATAGTGATTATAATTATCTATTTGAAAATGTTTAAAACAATTATTATTAATCATTGATCAATATTCATTGATTACTGATTTTTTTCTCTCGAATATTTAATTCTGGTACGGGGAGTTCCAGCAATTTACCTTAAGGTACGATGGCATGCATACACCACTAGTTACATTTGCGATTGTGATTTATCTTTTATTCCAGAACAAATGGCTAATAGTCTGCGTTTAGCCCAAGCCGTACCCGCAATCCAAGCCAATGTATTTTTATGCTTCCGAGTAATTTTACTTCGAATGAGTCCACAAAATGTTACTTCGTTATGGCCAACTATAATCTCAGAGCTTGTACAAGTTTTACTTCAAATCGAACAAGAACTAGTTACTAACACTGAAGAATTCAGGTAATAAAAGAAATAAAATGTAATAAAATACTATGATTATAAAGTTTTGTTTTGGTTATTCATTTTGTTTGATCATTTTATGCTTGGTGTGTTTAGTTTTTTGCAACAGTTTATGTATTTGCAATATCATTACACCTTTCCTTTTCCCACTCATTGCTTCACTTTGCAATTATATCACAAAATTATTTTTATACAAGTATCAATTAGTGCAGTAAACGGAGCGTTTTGGGTCTGAACTTTTTTACTGCGCTCCGAATTGCATGAAATTTTGAAATTAGGTTTATCTTATCCTCAAGTTCAAAAGTGAAAGCAATTCGGGTTGTTCACATCTTTCACTCACGATTTTATAAAAAATTTTTTTCCGATTTTTTTAAAAATCGAACTCATTTTCATTATATCTCAAAGAGAATAAAAGATACGTATAAAAGCATTTAAACAAAAATCAAAGGATTTTCTGGCTTATTATTGTTTTTTATTATTTTTCTTCACACAAAAATTGACAGAGTTATGATTGTTTAAAGAGTGCGCGGCCGCGCAATCAGAGTCTCTCTCGAGCCCTTTAACCGTTCGGCGTTTCAAAATGAGAGGAGTTACGAAAAAATTATGATGAAAAAATTTATAGCCCTTTTATAAGCCTTTCAAATGGTATATTACAAATTGTGATGGAGTCGAAATTAAAGGAGTTATGACCCGAAAACTAATCGCATTTTTGTCGAATTGTGTTCATATTTCGAGCAATGTATAAGTAAGCAGAATTTGGTGCCCAAAACTATAGACTTATATATATATATATATATATATATATATATATATACAGGGCCGGTCCTGGGGTCTTCAGCGCCCGCATGCAAGATTTGTTTTAGCGCCTCCCCCCCCCCATAATTTTAACTGTTTTAACATTTATCATTAAAATTATATGAATATTTACGTGAATGCACACAAAAAAATTAGAAATAATCTAAAAGCGTATAAAATACATTAATTTTAATTTTATTTAGAAAATTGAAGCGATTTGCGGGTTGACCATAATTAAATATATTATATTTTCAAGTATTTCACATATATTACATATATGTAATATTAATATTTGGGTTTTGAAACATTTCACTTATTTCATTAAACTCATTCTTATTTTTAAACATAACATTCATTTTTCATGTTAAATTTTTAACGTATTTTAAAAGATGCAAAGAAATTACATATTTCCTGAACTATATCGAAAACAAAACACAATTATATTTGTATCTGTATTATTTCTGCTTAGTTAATAATTAAATTTAGTATGGACACCACTAGGTATAAAAAAGCTCACGATATTCTAAGTATATTTTGTTTCCATTTTTCATATTTGCTCCATTTCCATAAACCTAACCACGCATGTGTTCAAAGTTCAAAGTTAATCAGATGCGAAACATTTTCAACAAATACAAAAGTTACAATTAAGTTTTTCGGTCCTATAGTCATTTTCTAAGCACTGACTTCCCATTTTCCATTTTTTTCTATTATAATTTGTATCTATTTTCTTTTAACAAGCTCCGTTCAAACTAAATCAGCTCGCAATTTTTCATCAATAATGCCCAATAATTTAAACTTTCTTAGGTTTGCGCTTACGGTATTGAACACTAGATAATTTTTTTTTCAATTCCACATTTACTTCGATCGAAAAAAATTTAATAAGTTCATTAAATATTAAGCAGAGCAATAATGTACTAATTTGCATGAGTAATTAATTGTTTCTACAGATATCACATTGCAAACTGAATATGCTTTCTGTTTCTACGTACCATAGTTAAGTTACATTGTTTATTATTATCTATTAAGTATTCTAGATTTTATATTAAAAAAAAACGAATAATATATTTTAAATTTCATTTCCGAATCTCGTTTTGGCGCCCCCTAAGGCGTGCGCCCGCATTTTTTGCATGCAACGCATGCAAGGCAGAACCGGCCCTGTATATATATATATATAATATATATATATATACAGTAGAATGTCGATTATCCTGACCTCGGATATACGGATTCGCGATTATCTGGTCTACCAACCGCGACCAATTTATCTCTATGCACATACCTACAATTCGAATTTTACGTAATGCATAAAGAAGTATTAATTTCTTAATAAACATTGATTTTCATTGATATCTATGTATGTAATTGTTATTTTTAATAAATGCACAACATTATTCTTCATACATTTGATTATCCGAATTTTCGATTATCCGAATGCCCATCGACAACAATTAGTCCGGTTAATCGAAGTTCTACTGTATATATATGCTTATGTGTATTTATAATAAAAACGTATGTTTAAGAGTAGTTTTAAGAGTCGATATGGTAATTATTTTCGAAAAATTTAAATACCATTCATATTATTTTGAATTTCTTAATTTTCTTTCAATTTCAAAATAATTTTTTAAACATTTTTCATCGAGGGGTTGTTTTTAAGGATCTAAAAAGGGTTAAAAATTTGATAATCAAGGTAGAAAACATAAAATATTATTTACTTTATACGTAATTCTTATTATATCATACCGAAATTTATTTTTAAGTGTTTTCTTTTTTATCAATTTAAAGGTAGTTTGAAGGGTAAAACCCTAAGTTTTCACGGGGTTGAAAATGATTTTATTGCAAGGTAAATGTATTAAAAAATACTTTTTAATTGTATATTTTAATATTAAAAACGCTTTATACCTCTTATTAACTTCCCGAAGGAGAAGTTTATGTTTTCATCAAAAAATCCGAATCGCTAATTTTATGTTTTCTCGACGTTTCAAGCCATTCTTAATCGATTGAGACCAAATTTGGAAAAAGTATGTGTGTGTGTGTATGTGTGTGTGTGTGTGTGTGTGTGTGAACAGATTTTTTGCCGTAAATCGACGTTTTCTCTAAAACGGCTGGACCGATTTCAAAAACTTAAAAGCCATTTGATGTATCTCGATGAGGACTATCGTTTCTGAGTTTTGTGCGGCGATCGGCCGAGCCGTTTCTTTGTAAATTGCAGAAAAGTGAAAAAATTTTCGTCCACGTTTTAGCCCGCAATTCTGAATCGATTTCGAAAATTCAAAAACCATTCGATAGATATTAGTTGGGAATCGTGCTGATTAGTTTTTGGTAAAGATCGGCCTGGCCGTTTTCTTGTAATAAAGTTTTAAAAAAAAAATTTCGGCGATTTTTGATTTTTTTTTTGACGGTAGATACCACAGTCTTCTAGGTCATACTAAAATATTACGGCCCTACGACAACTCGTTTAGCTTTAAAAATTCGTCAAAGTTTGCAAAAATTGGTTTCGTTTTTTTGACATTTGTCAAAATGAAATCTTTGATCGACGTTTTCTCAAAAACGCCTGAACCGATTTCAGAAATTTAAAAGCCATTTGATGTATTTCGGTGAGGACTATCGTTTGTCAGTTTTGTGCGACGATCTGCCAAGCCGTTTCTTTATAATTTGAAAAAAAGTGTTAAACTTTTCGTTCACATTTAAGCTCATCCTACCGAACCGATTTTAAAAAATCAAAAACTGTTCGAAAGATATTAGTTGGGAATGGTACTGATTAATTTTAGGTGAAAATCTACCGAGCCGTTTTCTTGTAATGAACTGTTGAAAAAAAAATTTAAGCCGATTTTCATGGAACTTTTTTTGGCGATATACATACATCATGGTCTTGGAGAACTTGCTGTAATATTACGGCCTTACGACAAGTAGTTTAATTTTAAAAATTCGTCAAACTTTGCTAAACTTATTATCGTTTTTTTAAAGTAGGATTGATGAATTATATTATTTACACATTATTTTTTTGATTAAGTCGATTATTTACACATATCGGGAAGTTCATGTAACTTGCCTCAAGGCTAAATACCAAAGCAACTAGTTTATTAAGGGGTCGCAACCCCCGGGGGATGGTAGCGGAGTCCAAATTGTTTTCACTTTTGAACTTGAGGGTAAGGTGAATCTAATTCCAAATTTTTATGCAAATGGGAGCACAGTAAAAAAATTCAGAGGTTATACCCTTTTTCCCCTCCGTTTACTGCACTAAATATCAATTATTATTAACATGTTATATGTATTCGTGTGGACATTTATTAACCGAAATTTGTTCTTTTTTCAACAATTTGTGTGTGCCGTCCTGTGGTGAATTTCAAAACGCTTATCGCAGAACTAACAGCAGGTAAACAAAGAATCAATCATTATGGCTATATATCTATCATAGAAATACAAATTGAAATATTTATATATATATATATATATATATATATATATTTATTCTTTACTAAAGTTTTTTTTCTGTACCAATTAGCAACCATATAAAATTACTATCAGCTCTGGACAACTCGTGGGTGACGAATGCCAACAATGGTCTATCGGCACATGGCAATCCACAATGGTTGCAGTTGCAATTGGCAGCTGCTAAATTATTGGATTTGGCATTGGTTTTGCCTGCGAAGGAGTTGCCGCAATTTCAAATGTAAGTGATAATGGTCACAGATGGTAATAGTCACATTTAAAAATGATTTTCTGATATTCTGCGAAATTGCTTCTATCAATTTTTTTTATGCAGTTAATTGATTCAGATCATTGTTAGAAACATCAGTTGTTGATAGTTTCTTAAACTATTTCATAGTCATCTTACAAATTTTTCAAGTTATGGTAATCGCAAAAAATTCGAAAACTAGTGGTGCATGGCATTGTGCCTTGAGGCAAATTACTGGAACTTTACGTACCAGAATTAAATATTCGAGCAAAAAAAATTAATGACTAATAAATATTGATCAGTGGTTAATTACAATTGTTTTAAATATTTTCAAAAAGATAATTATAATTACTATTATGTATTCGTTCATAAATATACAGCGAGGATCTTATCGCTCAAAATACTAGAAAATGTTTACAAAAGAAAAACCAAATGAATTCATCTGAGGATATATTTCTTACGAGTAGATAAACGCATATGGAATATATACATTTTTAAACTGAATTGTAAATTTAAATTTTATTTATTTTTATATATATATTTTTGAAAATTTCGAAAAGAAAAATTTGAAAATCTTGAAATTTGTTTGAACCTTATACTTTAAAAATTAAAAATCTTGGCACAAAACCCAAAAAAATAGTAACAAAATTAATGCACATGTTTAAAATGTCTATAAGACATTTGATAATTTGATGTGCATATGTCTATAATGATCATTTTTGACCGCCAAATACCTTTTTGTACTCTTTCCTCTGTATCTCCGAAACCGCTAAACCTGCCTTACCAAAAAATTTGCCAATTCTTTATTGCGTCAATACAAATAAAATGTTCTTTGAATCACACAAATCGGACGCTCCGTTATCTCAAAAACTGAAATACCATTTTGGCGCTTTTTATCTCGTATCTCCGAAACAGCTAGACCTGCATTTGCCAAAAAGTAATCAGCACGTCTCCTTATCAGTAAAAATCAAATGTTTTTGGAATTTATATCCGAACACACACACATACATCCATTTTTTCTAAGGTATATCTAAACATTTTCAGAAACCTTTGAAACGTAAAGATATGCACACAAATTTTCGATTTTTTTGCGATTACTATAACTAAATACTGGAAGTTAATAATTTTTTATGCATATCTTTATATTTCAAGGTTTTCTGAACATTTTGGCATACCTTAGAAAAAATGGATGTATGTGTGTGTGTATGTATGTGTGTGTGTGTGTCTGTGTATGTATGTGTGTGTGTGTGTCTGTGTGTGTGTCTGTGTGTGTGTGCGCACGGATACAAATTTTCGTCGACGATTTCGGGAACACGGTTCAACCGATTTGAAAATATTCAAAACATTCGATTCGTATTGATGAGGAAACGTGCTGATTTTTTTAGCGAAGGCAGGTCGAGCCGTTCCGAGATACGGGGCAAAAAGTGCCAAAAACGGTAACTCAGTGTTTTATGAGAACGGAGCGTCCGATTTGAATAATTCAAAAAACATTTTACTTGTATTAACAAGATGAAGAACTGATCAAATTTTCATGAAAGCGGGTCTAGCGGTTTTGGAAAACAAATGAAAAAAGTAAAAAAATATGCCATTTGGCGGTCAAAAATGATCATTAGACATGTGCACGTCAAATTATCAGATATTTTAGAGATTTTAACAATGAGTATAAATTTTGTTTACATTCCTATGGGTTTCGCACCAATGTTTATCCGTTAGACGGCGACGCGGCGCTTACGCGCTTCGATATTTCGTCTTTATGCAGTTAAAGCAGTACGATTGCTTTGAAAAAAAGTTCAGAATTTCCAAAATATTTCAAAATAATTTTTTTTCAAAAAAAAGTAAATATTTGTCAAAAATTTATAGTTTCTCAAAAAATTAATTTTTTCAGAGACATTTTTTTTCAAAAATGTTAATCTTTTTAAAAAATATAATTTTTGACAAATATATTTTTTTCAGAGTTCTACAAGAAAGTTGAATCTTTTTCAAAAATTTTAATTTTTGGTACGGGAAGTTACAACAGTTTGCCTTAAGGCACGATGACATGCACCACATGTGTGGTCATCTTACACATTTTTTTCCGTTTAAACCTCCTAAAATAAAAGTTAGCGCCAACTAATAGAAGCAGTCTTAATGGGACTTTTACTATATTTCTTTTCTTCCCAGGTACCGTTGGGCCTTCGTGAGTGATGTGGATCTATCCCACATGGACTATGTCGAAGATGACATCACAACACCAAGCAAAAAGTCAAATCCATCACCAAACCATCACCAACAATACTGGTGAATCTCGTTCCACATCATCATGTGTCTTTGTGCCACACGTTTGCAGATTGGCTCGTTTAATGGACGTCTGTTATAAGGACCAGAGAAATATTCCACCAGACACACCAGTAAGACCAGGTAAGAATAAATTGTATATTCTCATTCTTCTTATTAAATTATCTAAGATTGGTCTTAATTCTTCACTTATTTATTTTTTTAAGAGTTATCTTCATAATCGTAAACAGTTTGTCTTAATGGATTCTTGAGCAATATCGAAAATATCAGTTCAGGTGTTCCTCAGAGATCCATTCTTGGTCCACTACTATTTATTATTTTTATTAATGACATATCTAATATTATTAGCTATCCACATTTATTATTTGCAGATGATCTCAAACTATATCTCAAAATAAATTCTATTGATGATTGCTTATTATTACAGTCTCAACTTGACTCTTTCCACTCTTGGTGTGTCTATAACAAATTACATTTAAATATATCAAAGACCAAGATTCTTAGTTTTTCACATAAGCGCGTTCCAATACATTTTGATTGTAAAATTTCTAACACCAGCATTGATAGATGTAATAAAATTTCAAATTTAGGAGTATTATTTGATTCTGGTTTGTTTTTCACGGATCATATAACTGATATTTGTAATAGAGCACAAAAATCTTTAGGTTTGATACTGAGAAATTGTAAACAATTCAATTCTAACAATGCATTTCTTTGCATGTACTATTCTAATGTACGTTCAAAATTATAATATGGTTCAATTATTTGGTATCCTCATCAAATCAACAACTCTGATGCGACAGAGAAGGTTCAGCGAAAATTTCTGAAATATTTTTATTATAAAACATATAAAATTCACCCTGAACGTGGTTTTGACCACAACACTTTACTAAAAGAATTTGGTATTCCTTCCCTTGCCTCACGTCGATTTATCTATACAATTATGTTCTTATTTAAGGTTTGCAATAATTCTATTGACTGTCCTCTTATTCTCAATCAACTATCCTTTAATGTTCCAAGGCTATCTACGCGTTCACAATTATTTTTCAATTATCCTACCCCTAAATCTAATTCTCTCTTAAATTCGCCAATTTTACTTATGTCCTCTAACTTTAACTTAATTAATAATGAAATAAATATTCACAACAATTCACCTAATCAAATAATCTCCATCTGCACAAGTTAACCTTTTTATTCTCTTTTCAAATATCTCATTATTTTATCTTATTCTGTTTATAAATAATATTGTTACATTCTGCATTATATGTAATTTTATGTTAAACATTTTATGTTAATAACTATATATTGTAATTTTGTATACATTTTAATTTTTATTCATTATGTAAAATAATTGTGTTTTTGAGCCCTCTTGGAGAAATCTGTGGGCTATATATTTAAAATAAATAAATATTATTAACATTAGTACAGTGGACTAATGCGAGTCAATTCCATTAGGTGAACTTCTTCTAACAGTGCAATCGATTAAGTCTTTGAGGGATTTGCACCAGTTTTTCAAAACTTTGAGTCACACGTGGAGCACCCATGCTGCCATGAACGTTGTTGTGGAGCAGGAACAGACGAGAACTTTCTCAACGAGTTCTGTGTTTTCAAGAAATGATATGAAGAGTGATGGATTGTCGGAGAGTTTGAGAGATAAATTGGAATCGGTGTTAGAAGATGATTTTATTGATAAGATGCCAGACTGATGAAATAAATAAATAGGTAAGGAAGATGAAACTAAATTCAAGTCAGATTTTACTGACTTTACTGACACTTTTTTTTATATTATATGACAGCACCCTGAATTATTAATATCAATTATTTTATATTTCTATTTCCAGGTAAAGTTTTATTCCTTCGATGAAGATTTCAAAAACAATTGAAATCCTTCTTGTATATGTGTATATAAATATATATATATTTAATTATTACAAATTTAACAAACAAAATGTATAGGATTTGCATAAAACCCGTGTGATATAACACTTGTGATGTTAATGTTTGTATATGTTAATGTTATTATTATTATTATTATGTAATTGTATAGAAGAAAATGATATTTTAATATATTTTTATTTATAAAGACCAATTTGATACCGAGAGAAATAATAAATTTGCAAAAATCATGTAGAGGTGTTTTTGTAGCGAGATAAATTAAAGGTTTGAACGAGTATTAGACAGAATATTTATAAAATATATAATAATTATATATATATATATATATATATATATATTCTGAGTGAATAGATAGATATTAATTTAGAAATATGAACAAACAACACTCTTTTTTGCACTAGTTTATTAAATAATAATTTTTACAAACGTTTCGAGATTAGGTTTGTCTCATCATCAGTGTGTTATAATTTAAAATCTGAAATAAGGAAACCTAAATTAGCATTATGTGTTATCCGTTACAATTTGTCTATTATACTCAGTATAACGAGTGTGTTATAATTAAAAATCTAAAATACAGAAACCTAAATTAGCATTATGTGTTATCCGTTACAAGTCTGAGTATAATGGACGACTTGTAACGGATAACACATAATGCTAATTTAGATTTCCATATTTTAGATTTCAAATTATAACACACTGATGATGGGACAAACCTAGTCTCAAAACGTTCGTAAAAATTATTATTTAATAAATTAGTGCAAAAAAGAGTGTTGTTTGTTCAAATTTTTAATTTAATATATATATATATATATATATATATATATATATATATACGAGTATATATATATATATATATATATATATAATATATATATATATATATATATATATAAATTTAAAATATAAAATATGAACCTACTACACAACAAATAGCTGATTGCTAGTTTCACATATTTAATAAAGACAACTGCCACATTATTGATGCAAAATATTAACTATGTTGTCAAATAAATTAAGTACAATTAGCTAGTGAATTTATAAATAAAAAACTACCTACTATAAATAATAGAAAATATGTACAAAGTGACAATTTTATTATTCGAAACAAACAAATGATATCTAACTATATTTATCTCTTAATCTATTTATTATTGATGCATTATAGACTACAATTTGTTTACAAACTAATATTTATTTGTCTATTAATATTAAATAATTAAATAACTAATTTGTTATTATAATGCATCATCTCTATCCTTGACAAAACTGAACCACGACTAATTCTAATTGTAAATTAAATAGTTTTAAGATAGATAATAACATTGTGCAATTTATATAGACGTACTATTAATTAATAAATGCAATTTATATTTTGTAATCACAAAAATCATATCACTTCATATTTATTCGATGTTAAATATATACTAATTTGTAATAGAGTCTTTCACTTTAAATTATATTATATATATACTAGGGTGGTCCTTAATATGGACATTTTCGAATTTCTTTGCTCCCAAGGGCTCAAATGCTTCCAAATTAATAAAACAAAATAATCTAAAAGTTTCAGCTCTTAATATTAACATTTAGATAGTCCGCAATTCAATTAAGGGGGGCGATACATGTAACAAGAAAAAAAAAATCGATTTTTTTTTATTTCATAAATCGTTACAATAACATCTCAAAAATATGCCTGTAAATATTCAAAACAAAATTATCATTATTTATACAATAAAAACTCATTTAAGTGCCACGCCTCAACTCGACGCTTGAGTGCTATTGTAAACTTTAAACGCGTTTTTCTCAAAACGACATTTTTGAAATTTGCGGGCGGGATAACTCAAAAAGTTCTCAACCGATTCCAATGAAATTTTGCACACATCTACTTTACAGTAATAGCTTCTAGTTAAACCTCAAACATTCCAAAAAATGTTTCAAAAATTAACCCTTTTACCAAAAAAACCATTGAAAAAAAGGTGAAAAATCGAACTTTTTTTTTCTAAGGTGTGCCAATTTACGATTTTGTGACTTTTTTAATTTTTTTTTGGTTTAACTAGAAGATATATGTTTTATGAACACGTACAAACTAATTTTTTTAAATTCAGATCACCGTACGAAAAGTGAGAACGCCCGCAAATTGATGGCGTTTTCCGAGAGGGTCTTGGCAGATTTATTTTTACGGCAGCCATTTAAAAAGAAAAATTAAAAAAATTTTTTTTTGTGTATTTTAATATATAATAAATAACCCTAAAAAAATTCAAAAAGATTCAATCATTCCTTCCCAGTTTAAAAAGTCCTCAAAAAATGGTAAAAATTACGGCGATTACATGTATCGCCCCCCTTAAGAGTTTCGTATATTTATTATTAAGTAAATTCTTGTGCTATCTGTGATAGCATTTGTGAATTCAAATATTATGACACCTAAAAATATTTATAAAACCCTTGACCTCTAATTAAACCCATGTGGACTGTTTAACGGAAATATATTCATCATGACACCAAAATTAATTTTGCAGCAAAATATTTATTTATTTGGTGATTTTGACACTCAAATTATCAGTAATAAATTGCCATCAAAATTACAAGTCTGCTATCACAGATGGCGCAAAAATTCACTCAATAATAAATATACGAAACTTTTAATTGAATTGCGGATTATCTAAATGTTAATATTAAAAGCTGAAACTTTTAGGGCATTTTTATTTCATTAATTTGGAAGCATTTGAGCCCTTGGGAGCAAAGAAAATGTCCATATTAAGGATCTTAATATCTTTTGGATGGAGTGCGGACTATTTTAAAGTTAATATTAAGAGCGGAAACGTTTAGAGCATTTTTTTCCATCGTTTTGGAAGCATTTGCAACCCTGGAAGCAAAAAAATCCATATTGAGGACCACCCTAATGTATATAAATGTTAAAACTTTTTGTTCGTTTTTAACAGTTTTCAAAGAAGTAGATACTTTATATCTCTGAAACGAAGCCTAAACTTGTCTGTAGACACATATACAGAAAATGTCCATATTAAGGACCACCCTTAATATCCGTTATATGGAGTGCGGACTATCTTAAAGTTAATATTAAGAGCTAAAACTTTCAGAGAATTTTTTTCCATAGTTTTGGAAGCATTTGAGACCCTGGGAGCAAAAAAAAATACAAAAATATCCATATTGAGGACCACCTTAATGTATATAAATTTTAAAAATGTATAACTTTTTGTTTCGAAAAAATAGAAATTTCATATCCCCGAAACGAAGCCTAAAATTGTCTGTAGACACATATACAGAAAATGTCCATATTAAGGACAACCCTTAATATTCTTTGGATGGAGTGCGGACTATCTTAAAGTTAATATATTAAGAGCTAAAATTTTCAGAGAATTTATTTCCATAGTTTTGGAAGCATTTGAGCCCTTGGGAACAATTTTTTTTAAAAATATCTATACTGAGGACCACCCTAATTTATATAAATGTTAAAAATGTTTAACTTTTTGTTCCAAAGAAATAGATATTTCATATCCCCAAAACGAAGCCTAAAATTGTCTGTAGACAAATATACAGAAAATGTCCATATTACTACCCTTAATATCCTTTGGATGGAGTGCGGACTATCTTAAAGTTAATATTAAGAACTAAAGGTTCCAGAAAAAAAAATTCATCGTTTTGGAAGCATTTGAGGCCCTGGGAGCAAAAAAATCGAAAATATCCATATTGAGGCCTCAATATGCATATTGAGGCCTCAATATGGATATTTTCGATTTTTTTGCTCCCAGGGTCTCAAATGCTTTTTCTTTAATTTTGAAGCATTTGAGACCCTGGGAAGCAAAAAAATTCAAAAAAATCCATATTGAGGACCACCCTAATGTATATAAATGTTAAAAATGTATAACTTTTTGTTCCAAAGAAATAGATATTTCAGGAAAAGTTTTCTTTCCTCTTTTTTTGCCTCTCAATTTGTCAAACATCTCGCTGTAGTAACAATCAATATTTACTGTATATATCAAGATCAGATATGATGTATAAAGTACCCAAGGGTAGAAAAATATGTACTAAAAATAGCAATGCAAAATTTATTTTTTTTTTGCAATAAAATGGTTTTATAGTTAAATGCCGATTTAGACACACATAGATATTTCATATCGCAGAAACGAAGCCTGAAATTTGGTTCTCAAATGAAAATATTTTTGCAATTTTTAAAGTATCTTATTAAAACAGTTACTCATCGTGGTTATCAGAAGATGATCTCATAGAACTTCCATCAACTATTTCTTCTTCCATATTAATTTTGGTAGGTGAAAAAGTTTCTATCGAAACCAAAAATCGATCATATCTAACACTTTTACAGTACATACTGTCAGCATTATTATTGTCATCAGAGGATTCTTGATCAGCATTATTATGGTCATCAGACATTTGATTTTTGTCATCAGAATCACCAACCTCGTACAGGTTTTCATCGTCAGAAGAACTTTCGTTTGATTCATTTCCTGGTACTTTCCAAATCCTCATATCACATTCAGTTTCATCACGTCCACGAAAAAAGTTTGTAGACGGCTTCAAATATTTCTTAATCAGTTTACCGATTTCAACCAATGATTCATTATTGCTAGGATTAAGATCGATTTTTTCTTCTTCTTGAACATGACAACTGTTGGAATCCAAACTTTCTTTTGGATCTGTTACAGGAATCTTCTGAACCGTGGTTTCTAAATTAGTTTTATCACCAGGTTTTTCTTTAATACTAGATTCACTATTGTTTTCTTCAATAGTTGCATCCAATGATGGATCATTGACCAAAATATGGTCAGTGTGATTTTTCTTAATCTCTGCTTCAGAATTAATAGAACATTTCTCTAGTGTTTCACAAATCCTGCTTTCTAAATTATTATTCTCACAATCTACTGCCAAACCGATATTATTGTTTTTATCACCCATCAATGATCTATTATCATGACAACTATTTTCTCCTTTACGAGTGATCTTTAAAAAGACAAACGGTCCATATTGTTCCATATCAGAAGCCAATTTTATATCATAACCAGAATTTGGAAGTAAAAGTTCATCTGTTAAAAATGCAGTTTGGTAGACTTCTTTTGTGGTCTGGTCATATTTGTCTTCGATGTAGACGTACTTTACTTTGTTTCTTATATTGTGCTGATAGTTATACTTTGGAGGATTCATTTTTCTTTTGTTT